CGTTTGCGTCTGTTTTGAATGTTTTGCAAAAATGAACAGGTGCTTGCGTTTAACAAGGAAAATGGGCAATGCGGGTCAACAAAGGTACATGTGGGACGGCCCAGTGGTGCAAGAGCGCCGCGTGGCCCTCAGAGAGTTTATTCCAACGGACTACACCCCGGAATCGGCTCGCGCCACAATGGGTCGTCGCGGCGCGCCTTATCGACACAAACAAACTGATGAAGCAGTGCGGAAGCGCCAAGAGCGCGAAGTTGACCCCGCTGCTTTACTCATTGTGCGCAGTCAGTTGCAGGTTGCGCGGAGGCGCGCAAAGCGCAACATCGAGAATCCGGCCAAAGACGACGTTTTGCGGATGAGGCCTACCAGGGCAAAAGTTGGGGTCGTTGAGCCCCAATCAACGGTTTGCTACGTCCAGCCGGGCCCGAGGCGCCGCGCGATTCCCGGGCGTGGTCAGCTATTGTGCTTTCCCGACAAGGCGAAACTGTACTGCGCTATCGATAGATCTACTGAACTGCGGCGTTGTCGCAGTCTGGACTGCATAGACGTTGTCCCGCGCAATCATACTTGGGCAGCTTGAAATCTACTTTAACCCCCAGCATTTTGGCACTGTAACACCTCTTTGTTGTTCAGTGTGCTGCTTGTTGTGTTTACCTAAAAGGCACAATGTCTGACGCACTTTGGTCCGCAGCACGTGTCAGGAAGGCACTCGGCTGCACAGTAGTCGAGATTGCGAAAGCCATGAAGAAGAGTCGCGGTTTCGTTTACAACGCCATCTACAACGACGTACCACCGTCGGAGCGTTTGCGCAAGAACGTTGTGACGAATGCAGCCTTACACATGGCTGCAAGGCGCCGTCGGGTTCGCTGCCTAGCGAAGAAGACCAAGACCATCACCGCTAAGAAGAAGGTAATGAGCCGTGGGAGACCGAGGCTGGATGGCACCCCAAGGCCCTTTACCTACGAAACGAAGACGATTGTCAAGAGCTGTTTCGGATCCCCTGCTCAAATAGCCAGGCAGCTTAGTGCGGAAGGTCTCCAGGTCAGCCGGTCGACAGTACGCCGCGATCTTGTCGACATGGGTTTTAAGGCATACCGACGTCGTCCTGTTTGCGCTCTTACAGATAACGACAAGGAGCGTCGTCTCACGTTCTGTAGGCGTGTTACGCAGTACCCCCACAGTTGGTTCACCAACTGTGTGTTTACAGACGAGAAGTGGTTTGATGCAAATGACAGCGGAGTGACCTACCACTGGGTTCAGACTAACGGTAACGAGGCACCAAGGCGCGATGTCTTTTCGCGTGAGCGAAGCCAAGCCCCAGCAAAGGTATTTGTCTGGGGCGCTATCGCCG